GCGAAGCCCCGGGGGGGCTGCTTTTCATGTGCTGCTGGGGATGGGAGGAGCCCGGCCGGGTCTGCACCGGCCAGCAGAAGCAGCGATGGAGCCGCTTGGGACGGGACGAGCCTGCACCGGTCAGTCCCGAGCGGCACACGGCTCTGCCGCCACTTCTGCTGGCCGGTGCGGACCCAGCTGGGCTCCTCCCATTCCCAGTAGCATGTGGGAAGCCAGCTTCAGCTCCATGCTGCTTTTCCTGGTGGGTGCTGACCCAGTTGGGTCCATCCCATCTGGAGCAGCATGCGGCTGAAGCTGGCTTCCCATGAGCTGCTGGGGACGAGAGGAGCCTGGCCGGGAATGCACCGGCCAGCAGAAGAGGCAGCAGAGCCGAGTGCCGCTCGGGATGGGATGGGGTTGGCCGGAGCGGCAGGGGCTCAGCTGCACTTTCCCCCTACCTGCGCTGGTCAGTCCTGAGCGGCACACGGCTCCCCCGCCGCCTCTTCTGGCTGGTGCTGACCCGGCCGGGCTCCTCTCGGCCCCAGCAGCTTGTGGGAATCCAGCTTCAGCTGTGTGCTGCTTTGGATGGGGCAGACCTACCCAGGTTGGCACCAGCCAGAAGAGGCGGCGGGGGAGCCGTGTGCCGCTCAGGACTGACCAGCGCAGGTAGGGGGAAAGTGCAGCTGAGCCCCTGCTGCTCCAGCTGGGCTCATTCTGTCCCGAGTGGCACATGGCTACTCCTCTTCCCACACGCACCGTGTCGGCAACGTCAAGCTGACGCAGTGCATGTGGGAACCTTGTCCCTTCCCCAGTCCTTCAGCAGCCATTAGGAAGCTGCTGAGGGGCTGGGGGAGGGACAAGGGGTGGGAACGAAAGTAAACAGTATTTATTTTCGTTTCCCATCGCAGCACCGCGGGCCACAGAAAACAGCTTGGTGGGCCGCGGACCGCATGTTGGACAAGCCTGCTGTAGAGCACATTCAAGGGGCCGATCTTGTAACAGAAGTAACTTCTTTCTGTACCTTTAGAGACTTTTAGAAACCCACAGGGCTAGACCCAGAGTGGGTACAGTGATGCAGTCAAACCTTCCTCCTTTGGCTGTGCCACACATGAACTCCCAGTGTGGGGTCTGCCAAGAGCCCCTGCTTTCATTGGCTCCAAAGCCCAAGGGGTGAAAACTGCCATTCTTGCTTACCTACTTCCTTTCCTGCTGTTGAATTCAGTGAGAAGGGGGGAAGGAGGGAAGCATTTATCCCCTGAGTTCTGAAGCCACATGAAAGCAAGTTAGTTGTGGATAGTGCTCAGAAAACATCAGCCCAGTGTTCAGCAGCAGTCCAAAAGGTACATAGAACTAGGAATTATTAAGGAATTATCAAGAAGGAAACTGAAAACAAAACAGAAGATTTCATTATATCATTGTATAAATTCAGGGTACAGCCATGCCTGCAATGATTTGTGCAGTTTTGGTTCTCCTATCTCAAAAAGGTATAGTAAAACTGGAAAAGGTACAGAGAAGGGTAGAAAGGATGATGAGGGATACTGAGAGGCTAGATAGGTTGGGACTTTTCAGTTTAGAAAAAAGATGACTAAGCAGGGTAATGATAGAGGTCTATAAAATCATGAATGAAGAAAAATAGGGATTTGGTATTTATTGTTTCTCATGATACTAGAACTAGAGAACATACGAAATTATTGAGTGGCAGGTTTAAAACAGAAGGAAGTATTTTTCATACAATGTGCAATTAATTTGTGCAGTTCACTGCCACAAGATTTTTGGGAACTGATAATTTTAATCAGGTTTAAAAGATGATGTGACTGTTCATGAAAGACAGGTCTGTCAGTGGATATTAAATGTAATGGCTCAAAACTAGGACTTCCTAAACCTCTGAATGTGGGAAGAGGGGAAGATGAATCAGTCTGGATAGGCTTTGCTTAAATATTCTTTCCCTTATAATCTGCTCCCTTTCACTGTGAGATACAAGACTCTGGGCTAAATGAAACCTTGGTCTGATCCAATGCACCATTTCTCATTGTATTCTTAAAAATACAAATCTATGCAATGATTTAAAGTACAGTAATTTACATTATTTTCAGATACTACTACTCTGTGTATTATTAGTACATATATCTATATATACAGTGTGGAGATCACCTTGATGTTTATTAATGACATAATGAATTATAAAAGTTCTGTATGGCAGTTTAGACAGTGTCTACAATGGCTTCCTGGGCAAGACCATGCATGCTGCCAAGAAATAAGTCCTACCCACTGGCATCTACTCTCCTTGCACTTGGGCTTTAAAATATGGCAAGCCTGAGCTTGCCATATTGCTTTCAAGCTGTCAACACAAACAATTTATGAGCCTAGGGATGTCAGTGTGTGGGCCTTATTTCTTGCTGGTGCACCTGGTCCTGCTCAGGTGGCCCTGTAGATGTGCCCTTATAGCAATCAGCTTCCACTGTGAATTTAAACCCTTTCTTTTTTTGTAGTTTGTGTAGAATATAAAGAAAGAGAATTTACCTTTTCCATCTATGTTGTACCTTTCTTTAGAATATGTATAAGCGTGACCCTCATGGTTCTATTAATTTTTGAGGAAAGCTGTAAAGTGTATCATATAATTTTTATTTCCTCTACAGATGGTGGGATTGCACGATTCAAAGTGTTCGGTATCATACAGAAAGACTGGTCAGCTTCTGGCCTAAATGACTTAGATGACTTGGTGGCAATGGCGAACGGCGGTGTCTGTGTTGGATTTAGCTCTACTCAATTAGGTCACCCAAGAAATATTTTATGTAAGGCAAACATACTGTTTTTAATAATTAAAATAAACTGTACAATGGTATAAACTGATTTTAATCATCCCCACTATAGCTTAATAAAAATGGCCCTTTTGACCTCAGTAGTAACAACTATGGGCACCTATACATGTGCCAGATGGTTGCTCTGACACATGCTAATTAGCATACTTTGGAGCAGACTTAATTAAATGAGTCTGCTGGAGTGTGTTAATTAATGAGCTCCAAAAGTCTCCTTGTTACATCTATTCAGCATCTCCATGCTTCAAAATGGCAGCGGGAGCACTAGAACTGACACTTGTTGAACGAGCTTAACTTCAAATGCCCCTGTCGCCATTTGAAATGTGGGATGCTGAATACATGTGACGCTGCAGGTACTTTAATTAGAGTGGCAATTGGAGCCACTCTAATTAAAGTGCCCCCTTCTCCACCCCAGAGCACATGTAATTTAAACCTATGGGTTTAAATTATACTGCATTTTGATCAGATCTTGCAGCCTATTTTCAAACAAAGCAGTCTTGTAATGGAGGGCTGGGTCTGAACATCATAGCTTTGTAAACTTACAAATTTCAGTATATTTCTTTGGTTAATTTGTGAAGACCAAGAACTGTACTTTAAATCCATTTATACTACAATATCTAATACCTTCATTAAATATACAGTTCATTTTTAGGCTACTGTGTTCTAATTAAGCTAGCAGAGAGCAGGTTTAGACTGGACATTAGGAAGAACTTCTTCACAGTTAGAGTGACCAAAATCTGGAATGGGCTCTCAAGGGAGGTGGTGCTCTCCCCTACCCTGGGGGTCTTCAAGAGGAGGTTAGATAAGCATCTAGCTGGGGTCATCTGAACCCAGCCCTCTTTCCTGCCTATGTAGGGGGTCGGACTCGATCTATTGAGGTCCCTTCCGACCCTAACTTCTATGAATCTATGAATTAGATGGCTCGTTTCTTGGCCAGAGCCTAGATTGTCTGCTCCTGAGGTAAATGCTTTGGGAAGGTTCTTTTTAAAAGGAAAAATCCTGCAAGGATTTTTTCATGGGTATTCCACTTTAATATGCTGTTTATTCCTTCCCATACAGAAGAGCTTCACTAACCCCAACAGAGCCTTTGGAAACCACAGCTTATATTCATATACAATGGGCAGTGGCTCTGGCATGTTCCTTCCTGCTCTGGGCACCTATGTGTAGCGCTGTACATGTGTAGCGCTGTAATTACAGTGCATCAGAGCAGACTCCATTAATCAAATCTATGGGAGCGTAGTAATTACTGTGCTCCAGCAGTCTCCAGTGTCTTGTGTATCAGCCTCCCCGTCCTGAAAAATGGAGATGGGGGCATTTAAATTAAAGCTCGTTCAACGAGCTTTAGTTAAAGTGCCCCTGCTGCCATTTTTCAGCAGAGGGAGGCTGATACACGAGATGCTCTGGGCATTTTAATTAGAACAGAGGTCAGAGTGACTCATATTAAGCAACCCCCACTCCCAGAGCATGTGTATAAATGCCCTCTGATCTCTGCCAGTGTGGCTCAACTAGAGCCATACTACCAGGGGCACCCTGTTGGGTTTAGGAACCTTTAAATATCCATGGATATAGTATATTTACTCTAATCCAAGACAAAGGTGTCCCCCACATCTTCAATATGGCAGGAGGAAATAGTTCCTTGCCTTAGATTTAAGTATAAGGTGTTGGGGGAGGAGGGGGAGCAGGTGGGTGCTTGGCTCTGGCGCCAATAATAAGAAGATCCTCACCAATAATTATATTCTATATGTGGAAAATTTTAACATATTTATAAATTTTAATTATTTCAGGGGTCATCTTAACTTCAAAGTTGTCTTATGGTAATGGCTATTTGGGCACTCTCTGGTAGTGGCCTCCTTAGGTTATACTTGCGACACATTGGTGGGAACTGAAGAAAACTGCACATCTGACTCAACTTTTTTTATGAGCTTTGAATTAAGAAGACATAGAATGGTTTATAATAAATACCCTCTACTGTGTTACCTATTTCCTGTTTCTCGAGGGCCAGGAAAAGCGACTTCAATGAAAGATGGCTGGGAAACAGCAAGAAGAATGGATAGACCACCGGTTGTAAAAGTAAAGTATTAAATTTCGCTTTATAAATAAATAAAAGCCTATTAAATAATCAAAAAGTGTGTGTTTGTGTGTGTGCGCATGCTGTAGTGAAATTTGAGATTTCTTTTTAATCTTCCAAGAAGGAAGCAACTTCTTATCTTGGAGGCATACACCCTGATCTTTAGGAATAGGACATGGCTAAGTAGGCCTAACTTGCTCTTTATTTTTCTCACCATTTCTGTTTACTTGGATTTTTATCATATTTTGATAATGAAAGACATTATACAAATGTGAGAGATTATTATAACAGTTATCTTTGGCAATCAGCAACCTTGGCAGAAATACAAGTGAATAAAATAACAAAATGAAGGGATTCAACAGTTATTAAGAAGTAAGCACACTGATATAAAGAGGCTAATTATTAATGCCCTGATCCTCCATCCCTTGAAATCAATAGAAATGTTGTTATTGACTTCAAAGAGAACAGGAGCCCCATATAATGGAAAACATGAACATTTGTCATAAGAATCAGTGATGCAATATGGGTAATGATATAAATAAATGCAAGCACCTGCAACTGGCAAGGGATCACACAGCTTACTATAGTTCTCTTTTGTTATCAGAGCCAGTAAAATGGCCTCTAAAATGGGATTTCTTACTGAAAAGAAAATGCTCATTATCTTATTGCTGTCCATAACAAAATGAACCAAATCTCTTGTCAATACCTCCTTTAAATGTATACTACTATTGACATATAGATTATACATCTAATTCACTTCCATTAACATGATCTTTAATCATTTTGAAAAGAAGAGTACCAGGTAACAGAATTCTTTATAGAAAAGAATATTGTAAGAGTGAGCAAAACATTATCATTAGATTCATTCACTAATCTGAAAATAAAAATGTATTATACATTATTTCCCTTAACAAAATTAAATACTAAATTAAAAATACTACCTTGCCTTTATCTGGCTGGGTTTTTTCTTCTTCTTGCATTTCAGTTAACAATCCAAAATGTTCTCTGTAATTTCAGGTTGATGACAAAGGTATTCTCTTGATACCAGGTCATGAATGGGCAGTTTTTCGTCTAGCACATCCTGGTATAATAACCCATATTGAAATAGACACTACTCACTTTAAAGGTAAAACAAATGGTTTCCCTTTGTTCCCTGTATTTTATTGGCCATACAATAATATACCCCAAAGTTGTATAATACATAAATGCGTGTGTTTCTCTCTCTCTCTGTCTCTCTATCTACTTATATCACAAGACCACGGGGTGCTGAGCCAAGGGGCATTATGCTATTTTTTTAATAGCTGAGGATCAGTTAAACTAAGTGGAACATGCAATATCTTCCTTCAGCAATAAGAAGAACATGCATCTGGCTGGATATAATATACAAAATCCACTGTAGCAGCTGTATGTCAGGGGAGGATACTTCCACGTTGGGGGCATTTTCAAGGGGATTTTCTGGGTGAAATATTGGCTTCAGTGAAGTCAATGGGAAGTCTGCCACTGATTTCAGTGGAACCGGAATTTTACCACTGAGTTTGTCTGTAATAGAGTATTTTTTATAATCAGAAATTGTGTGTTCTTTAGATTGGTCCTCTTAGAAAAAGACAACCATATTCTGTTAAGCAGTAAGTTGGCTTTGCATGTATTTTATTGAATACATAAATATAGTGTGAAAAATGAAGTGCATTTAGGTATACATTGTTCAGTTAATGTTTTGCATTATTTGTTATGTTTATAGAGCTGCGCAAATAATTAATTCATATTCATGGGTAAACAGAACTGTGATTTTTTTTCAAATAAAATATTTGCAAAGTCTTTCATTATTTGTCAGCTGTATACATCTTTCAAGCCATAATTGCAGCACAAACTTAAAAATCGTATCTGTGTCTTGTGATGTTCATTACCACGCGTTTCAGTTATGAATGTCAGCTTTCTTTGTAAACTGCTTTCTTCTGAAGAAGATAATTATAACGTTAACAAATATAAAAAAAATATTTTGTTTACTTCCAGGTAACTTTCCAGATACATGTCAAGTTGAGGCCTGTGTCTTGAACGCAGAAGAAGAAAAAGAATGTTTAACACAGAAATGGAATCTTAAACAGGGTCTAAAATGGATCCCTTTGCTTTCTGTTGCAAAAGTAAGTTATAATATCTGTGGATAATGTTGGGCTCTTAGCTTGTAGCATACTAGTTGTCCTGAGTTTATCATTTAAGAATAAGTATTACAGGTCTGAAAAATGGAACTCCAAATATTACAATGACAAAACTAATTAGTGTAGTAAACAAAGAGCAGGTTTAGCTAACGTGGACACTCATCTAGTTTTTATGATATTTGTGTGTGTGTGTGTAATAACATATGACTTCTGTTAAGACACTATTTAAGTATACTAGTCTTACTTTATATTTTTGTTTTAGCTTAAACCTAACAAGAGGCATTTCTTTGATGGCACAGTCATGCAAATGCAAGATGCAATTACTCATGTAAGACTCGTTATTTGTCCTGATGGAGGAGTAAGTAGGATGCGTCTCTGGGGTTTTCCACGTACTCTGTTATCTAAAAGCAAATGAACAAGAGCCTTGAAAGTTTTAAGGGTTATACAATAGAAGTTAACTTCTTGGCTATCATATACAGTGGTATATATTAATTAAATAGGATGCATTCACTGCATCAAGCATGATTTTACCAGTAATAAACAAAAATTTTTGATTTTTTTTAATGGTTTGTCATTATAAAACAGTTTCTGCAGTTTTAGGAATATAATCAGTGAAATATATTTTTGCAAATATGTATCATTTATATAGTGCCTGTAATTAGCCAGTGACCACATACAATTCTCTGAATAGTAATAGCACATCTTAGGTAAGCATCAACATTTATCATTAAGTGATTGTAACCACGCTGCAAGCCCTCTAATTGTCCTAAAATGTACAGCTGCAGTGTCCTACTGGTGAAATGAAATGAAATATCTAGCTAAAAATAAATCAGATTTTTTTTTAATTATGGGTGTGACTTAATTAAAAAACAATCAAAAAGTTCAATGTATATTCAATTGCCTCTATTCTTTTGTTTTACTTACAATGTTTGATAATTAAATAATAATGATTCTGTATTCATAAACATCTCTACAACTTAGGTTTCTGATATGATAAAGTACTTTGATATTTTGCAAGTAAACATGCAAGCTTACTTGTTTACCTCCATCATTCTTATGTGTGTAGATAAGTTTGCATTATACAGGCAGATGTAGACATATATTGAGTATTGGTGAAATTTGAAAACATATTAATTTGCATAAATCCAAAATGAAAATTGAGACAATCATTTTAACCTTTTTCATACATGTTTTGCTGCTTTATGATGTTTCAAATATTGTGTCTTTCTTTATGGGCCTAGGCTAACATTTTCAAAACTGGATGCTCAACATTATGTTTCTGAAGCCATATTTGGCAATCTGAGTACATTATCTGACTTTTCCTGGAAGTCTACTAGATGACAATGGGAGCTACAGGGTTTTCAACACTTCTAAAATTTGGGGTATCTCATTTCACTGCCCAAATATGGCTTTTAGACTTGAATCATCCAGTTTTGAAACTGATGACTCTAGATTCTACTTCATGATTCAGCATTTCTTTTAGATGAAAAATAGTAAGAATAGAGTTGATGAAGCTTTTTGGAGATAATGGCCATGGACAGGCATTCATTTCTATTGCTGAAAATTTCTGGGAGATTTGTAGTGGTTAAAATTTTTCCTAGAGAGTACAAGTGTTCCAGTCTGTAGATGCCCCCTTTCCAGCTCCCCATGCCTTTCCAAGACAGGGTCACCCAGTGCTGTGACAAGGAGGTTTGGCATCTAGGGCAAAGCCCGCAGCAGCAGCCTGCCCTCACCCCGTGCAAAGATCTGGGGGGCACACGCCCCTCCCATACTTGCCCAGGGGTGCATGCAATGGTGGGAGCTGCCCTCCCCTCATCCCCGTGCTCTCCCAAACGAGCCACTTGTGGCTCTGTCCCGTGCTCCGCCCCGACTGGCAGCGCTTGTTGGTGTCCCTTCGCTATGGCACTGGGGTCACCCCAGCCTGAGGAAGTGAGATCTACTCTGGGAGAACAGTTTCAGCTGGACTCCTCCATAGCACAGGAAGAGTTCAGCTGTGAGGAAACATCTCTGCAGCTTTCCCAGACTGGGTTCCCTTGGTTTGGAGAGGGTGCAGGGAAAGCTGCAGCTGGACTTTTCTTGTGCTGAAGATAGGTCTCCCTGGTGCTGGGAAGGTTGGGGTTGGGGGTGGGGGTGGCGTTAGCAGTTCAATTCCACCCTTGAGAGATGAGCTGTGAGAAAATGCCCCTTCCCCAGACCCAAGTGCCCCTCAGTGTTTGGGGGAAGCTGCCGTTTGATTCCTCCCAATCACTGAGCAGTTGAGCATACAGGCGTTCATACAGGCGTTTGTTCTAGTGAGAGAAACTGGTCACTGTGGGGAAGGAAAAGGCAATCTCACAAGCTGCTTTACTTTCCACACCGTGGGCACGCATATGGCTCAGTCCTTGAGCACCTCTAGTTTGCACCTTGCCTTTAATGGAATTTACGATGGTGGTTGGGAATAGCTAACGTTATGGGCAGACTGGGGCTGAGATTGGCCTTTTTGTGGAACTTGAGAGTAACTGCAGAGACCTGATAATGTGAAGCCTGGTGGCACCATTTGTGGACTTTTGCATTGCTTCTATATGCATTCCCACCCTTACATTCTTTTCCAGTTCAAATTGTCAACTTTTGGTGTATCCTCTGTTCTTACTGGTTGTAAGTGTTTTACTACTGTTCTATATAGTTACAGTAACTTCATAATATATATAACCTTTGCATTGGCTTCCATTATTTCTGAATAAGAAAGCCACTCTACCAATTATATTAATGCTTATTACATTTGAAATAAATATTTGCTTTCGAGTTTTTAGTAAGGTAAATGGCAGCATGTATGAATGACAGCAAATACAAGAAGCCCTTTTCTAGAATTATGAATGTTAACCTCTCTCTCTGCACGGATTGTAGGGATACAGGCTTTACTAACATAAATACAAATGAACCCTGAGTCCAAGGAACGGAGAACGTTTCTTCTCCCCCACCCCCTTTGTACACGGATAGGCATTATGAAATGTTATATATTGTACCTACCTTGTGTATAGATATCGAACCTGGGTAATACTGAATTTTATCTGATTTTAATTGTTCATTATATTGTATTTGGGGACATTAAAATATGTTGTGACATATGATATACTGTTATTTGTATGCTACTTTTATACCCAGTTGAGAAACAATTAATAAAAATATTAATTACTTCAGAAATCATATTCTTGCCAAGAGTGTCAGTGAAGCACTTAAAATTAATAGCTTATGTTAATTTAAGTACCCATATCATCTTCATCTTTAACATCTCTCTCTTTACAAGCCTCTGTGGTAGGGAATTGCTATTGTGGTATTTCTATTTTATATATGTTGAAACGAGACACAGAGGGAAACCAGTTTACTGAGGATCACACAAGAACAAGGAAGTGGTCCCACACATGGGCAGAGCTAGGATTTTGAAAACGGGGTACAGATGGTGTGGTGCATCATCCCATATGACACAGCACATATTTTTCTCCATTTAAAGAGAAATTCTGAAATGCTTTACTGATATGCTAGGGGGCCAGGGCTATTATTATTCTGTTTAAAATCAAAACATATGCAACTTTTTTGGAATGTGCCTTAATTTGCTGTTATGCACAAAAAACAATGAACTAGGCAACAGTAATCAAAAGATGCCGTTTCTTTAGTCCTGTAGTTACTAGCATTAAATGCAGATTTTTTTTTTCAGATTCACAAAACAAAATCTACCCTTGAGCATCTGGGTAGTGCATCCAGTGCTGAAAGTTTTGCCACACCTGAGTTAATGTTCACCTCAGTTAATGTTTTTCGCTCGAGTTAAAAAGTCTGCAACACTGTTAAATAGGAGCTGCATTACCTGGAGTAGCCAACAGACAGCAGAAATGCAGAAAAAAGGATATCTTCATTAGTGGAACATCAAGACCATAAAAAGGAGAGAGCATGGTTAACATCTGTCATTAACTGTTTAGCTGCCATGAAGGCAACTGATTCTCTCGCTACTGCCTTAATAGAAATGCAGCTGCTACTTCCAGACAGTTGGTTTTAAACTTTAGGAGAACCAGGAATCAAAGCAGGGTGCAGCTGCCCCCCCCTCGGATGTCCCTGCAGTCCCACACCTCCCGAGTGCGAAGCCAGCACTAGCATCCTTCCTCTCATGTCATGTATTGTCTTTTATAAGGAGGCAGGCGGACGGGGCAGCCTGGGGGAGGCAGACGGGGCAGGGAGAGGCCCGAGTCACAGGGCTGGCTGTGGTGCAGCCCCGGCGCGGCGCGGGGCAGCCGGGGCAGGGCCGCGCGGTTGCCGCGGAGACCAGGCGGTGCGGGCCCC